GATAGATAGATAGATAGATAGATAGATAGATAGATAAATAATGTGGCCAAGTACCCTTTGCAACGGGCGGACTCAATGAAGTGTCCTAGCCATATTGTAAAAAAAGAAACAACACGAAAGAAAACATGAGTTAAAAAAACACACAGACACACACGTCAGAGTTCACAAGTCACACACTTCCAGCGCCGTGTGTGTCCGCTGTGGGTGACCGTCTTGTGTCCCTCCACCACACTTCGAGGCGAGCTTTTGTGGTGCGCACACTTTTGCCACAGCGGTTTCTCTCCGCATCAAGAAATCGCAGGGTGGTGCTCTCTACTGTAGGGGGAGTCAACTTCGAACATAGTAGGAGCAAGTGCTCGATAGTCTCTCACCCGCCACCGCAGGACCTGCACACCGCCGCGCGCGTTTCGGGGGCGCAATCATAACGGCTTCGATAGTCGAGAGTGCGCAGCGCGCCCGCCCGAGCCTCGCAGAGGAGGGCACCACCACAGCTGTTGTCGTACAGCGATGGCTCCGTCGCAATATCTCTCTTGCTTTCCCGGTAGATGTGGAGGGTGGCTGAATGCCACATTTCTCCCTCTGCCTCACGAACACGGTCACAAATGCCCTTTGCAGTCTCTCGTTCAGGTCCCGTTGCGATATATTCGAGGAGGCTGTATTTTCGCCTCAAGAACATCACTCTGGAGCCGTTGTCAGATAGGAAGGAGACGCGGCGCCGAAACGCTTTGTCCCAAAGTCACACTTAACTCATCAACCCATCATCATCCTACGTCTGTCCCGGCTCCACCTCCCCCCAGGGCTGTGTGGGGGGAAGATTTGTTTCGGGCAGACGGCCATGCCCTGGCAAGGGGGCCACCGTTCGGCGCCAGGCGCCCAACAGACGCGGCCTGCCTCCCGGCATACAAGCCAGGGAGGCCCGACAAAGGGACTACCCTCTGGCGGAGCAACTTCAGTCGCAACGCGCAAAGTGAACGTACCCCGGCAAGGTGGGCTATCGCAGTGCGTAGGGTGCGCTGCGGTCATGGCCCGTCTCCTGACCGATAGGGCCCAGCGAGACTTGACACAGGGGCTACCCTTCGGCACGGTAGCTCTCGCCACCACACGCAAAGCGGATGTACCCAAAAACGTGGCAGCGGGACAGCCCTCGGTCGCAGTAACTTCAGTCACCACAACGAAAGTGCCCGTGCCCTCACACTGTCTCGCGGCTGAGAGCCTGCGACGACACCCCCTCAGGGCGGATGGGCTATCGCTCAGCGCGAGGCGCTTTGCGGTCATGGCCCGTCTCCTCACCACAAGGGCGCAGTAAGACACAATCCGTCCTGTGGGGTCTACGGGACTACTATTTGGTGCAGAGGCCAGTGCCGCTGCACGCAAACCAGACGTACCCACGGAAACCGGCACGGCTGAAAGCCGGCTTAGTCCTTCTCGAAGAAGGGAACCACCTTCCGCCTCGACGAGTAAGGTAGCCGAGCCTACAGAAGGGGCCAACACGGACCTTGCGGGTAAAGCCCGACAAGGTGACAGGATCACCTTAGCGCATGCGAAGCTCGGGTGAAAGACCATACAGACCAAACTCGGGGGCGACTGGCTCACTAGGCCTAGTCGTGGAGCCTTAGAGAAAGTCATCATTAGAAGTTGATGGTTATCTGCCCTCCTGCCTCACTGAAAATCACTGCCGGACGGTGCCACGTCTCGTAAAACTTCTTTGCACCTAGGCGCTGCCACTCTCGGTGGAGAACGAACCAGACCTCCTTCCGTACTTTTGCAAGCACTTCGTGAAGCCCGGGTCGCTTGCCGTCAAAGACGGCACAGCACCGTGCAACCCACACTTGGTACGAGCACTCAACAAGCAGAAGCACGTATTGCTTAGCCGCTTGTCGCGACAGGGGATGGAGAAAACGAACGGTGTTGAAAGGAACACCTGGGTGGCCAAACAAGCTAGCTATCCTTAGATGGAGGGCAGCTGGTAGTGCGCACTGAGAGAACACGTGAACCAGGTCCTCCATAGTGCCACAAAAAGGGCACACTCCTCGTTGAGCAATTCTTGCGAAGGGCCTGAACCTTAGAGGCAGGCGATCTCTGGCCAGGCGATACATGAATGTAGCGCGCTTGGCGTCCAGGAAACTGGCAGTAATTAACCGCCAGTTAGGACTGTATTCGGACAGGTCGTGTTCTCTATAGCGTTCAGGTAACTCGGGAGCGAGTCTATCGACTAACTCGCGGAGTTCGATTGAATCTAAATCTATCTCGGGGTCGACCTCTTGGAGACGGGCCAAAGTAGAAGCGGCCCCTGCATAGAAGGCAGAAGGCGTTCCCGCCCGAGGCACGGAATTCGAAAATGACCCAGGCGAGAACAACCTCAGCCTGGTGCTCAGGAAGTACGATGCGAAGCTTCTTGTAAGGAGCATATCTCAATCAAGAGCTACCCGTGTCCATTTAACATGTAATGCCGTGGTCACAACGCTAAGGTCGGGAATACCTAGTCCTCCTTCGCCCCGGCGCAACTTCAACACGGGGCGCGCCACAAAAGGAGAGGCACGAGCCCAAAAGAATTTGAAAACTTTCTTTTCCAAGATAACTTTGGTGTGGGGTTTAACTGGCATAACCGAACCTATGTACGTAAGGAAACTGAACAACAGTGATTGAATTATCGTGGCCCTAGCTGTAAGCGGACAAGACAAGGCACCGAGTTCCTTAATCCTATCAGTCAGCTTTTGCCTTGCTAACCGCCAGTTTTCGGTAGTCAGGCCATCTGGCTCGAAATGGAAACCTAATATACGTAGGCGCTTCTGTATGGGGAAGCCATGTACAGGACGTGGACTGGAGGGAGCGCAGTTCAGATACATGACTGCGCTCTTCGACTTATTTATTCTGGCGCCGCTCGCCGAGCAGTACCCCTCCATAACGTCCAAGACGGTGCAAACAGTTGCTTCGTCCGGGACGACAATAGAGAGGTCATCTGCATAGGCAAACATTGCCACTGGGGGGGAACCTGGCGGAAGGGGAAATCTACCTATGCTGGTGTCTTTAGAAAGCCTCTGCAAGAGCGGCTCGAATGCGAGCACGTAGAGAGCGGGCGACAGTGGGTCACCCTGTCGGACTCCACGGCACACACCGAACGACTCCGAGACGCGATCTTGTATGACAACAGCAGAAATAGGACGAAAGTAGAGAGCCCTGACCATGCTGATGAACTTTGAACTGAAGCCCGCCTGCTTTAAAACTTTAAAGATGTACTTGTGACTGATAATATCAAAAGCCTTTTCTTGATCAAAATAACAAAGGATTCCACTTAGGTTGCGAGAATTCGACCATTCTATGAGGTCCCTGATAGCAAAACCATGAAGTTGGCACGACCTATTTTGGACACAACACGCCTGGTACGTACCCAAAACAGTACTGAGCACTGGAGTGAGTCGAACGGACAGGCACTTAGCTATGAGCTTGTAATCACAGTTCAAGAGGGTGATGGGCCGCCAGGCTCTCAGGTCGGTGCGTCTCGTCTCATCCTTGCACAGGAGAGTGATCCGCCCCTCTCTTTGAGTTGCTGACAGGGTCCCCTCACGGAGAAGCCTGTTTGCCAATGTGGTAAAAGGCCCCCCCAAAACCCTCCAAAACTTGACATAAAACTCGAATGTCAAACCATCTGAACCTGGGCTGCGATTATGGTTCATGGATTTAAGGGCTGCAAACACCTCCTCTTCGACGAAAGGAGTGTCACAAATATCAAAGTCCTCGTAAGTTTTGGTGAAAGGAAACGAGTACGGAGTGGGAGGTGGTTCGGCGTAAAGGTTCTTGTAGAACTGTCTTGCCACCTCTAATACTTCGTCCTGCGTTTCCACTAAACCGCCTGTGTTAGGATCGACCAAAGAGGTTATCGCTGAGCTCTTCCTAGCCAAGTGTCTGCGAAGGACATTTCTGCTGCACCAAGCCTCCATTTCCCACTGCTCTGCGCGTGCTGTGGCCCGCAAGCGGTCCCAGCGTCGCTGGAGCAGGACTCTATATTCTTTGCGCAGTGAAGTAAGAGCCGCGGTTACCCCCGGGCCGCAGGACAATGGCTTTGAGAGCAGGAGGATCGCGTCAGAGACCGCTTTGATCTCGGCGCGCTCCTCCCGCGCCCGCCTCTTGCCCCAATCCCGAAAGCGCTCCGCGACTCCGGCCTTCCCCGTGTCCCAATCGCTACCGTCTAAGTTCTGGTCGCCAAGGAGTGAACCTATGAGGTAGGTCGCCACATCTTTTGTGGCGCCCTTATCTTTAAGGAGCCGTGGATTTAAACGCCACGGTCGCTTGCCCCATGGCACCAAACTAGAGTCGGCAAATCTCAGTGCAAGGAGGCTATGGTCACTCAATGCAGAAGAACACAGCCAGCTAGAGTGCATGCTAGGAGCAAGCGAGGGCGAGACATAAAAACGATCAATCCTCGACCGGCTCCCCCTCCCCGTCCAAGTCATGCCTGACTGGAGAGGACGGAGGGACCGCCAAGCATCGACAAGCCCCAGCTCTTTAACAAGCTCCCGCAACTCTAGGTCGCCGTTTTGGCCTCTATACTTTGGAGTTCCTTTGAGGGAAACGCGATCCGCTTGTTCTAAAACACAGTTGAAATCGCCTACTAAAATGACACGGGAAGGGCCAACTAGATAAGAATCTAGGGAATTAAAGAAATCTTTCTGCTGTCATCACTCTGGAACTCCATTGAGTGCGAATGCCCGTGATGTAAATATATCGAAAGAGCCTGCGTGCCCACCTGCTGTCATTCAGACACTAGCGCCAGAGTTCCCTCTAGTAGGAGAGAGAGAATAAACATTTATTAATACAAATGCACACTGAGCCTTCTTTGTGTCCCTCTAGTAGGAAACTTTATGGCATAGTGTATATTGGGAAACTTCACGGAGGAAGGAAACTTTATGCTCTATGGTACCACATCGCTCCTCTTAGACGGTAGCGCCACACTTCTCACTAGGTATTTGTGAAAAAATACTCTATGCCATTGCTTATGCACCGGTAGCTGGCGACATCTAGAAAGTGGTCAACTTGTGTGTAGCGTCCCCAGCATTTGGCTGCAAAATATCTGTTCCGAGGTAAAAAAATATCGTCCGGCGCCATCGGGATTTCTCACGCATCCCTGCTTGAGCTTTCGTCGCTTTCCTCTCGGTGTTTTCGGCCAGCGCATCTGTCGCCCGGCGCACCTTGTTACCGTCTTCTGCATTTGTAGCCACGTGCAACTGTCAAGATGCCACCCCGAGGACGAGGTAAGCCTCCGACGCCTAGGGCTACGCTACAGCACGCCGAGAAAGGCTGCGTTGTTTCGCCTCGTTTTCCCAGTAGCATTCGCGCCGGTTCATCAGCTGCCCCACGCGAACGTTACAGCACGGGCTGATTGGACTGGAAGCGCTGTCTAAGGGATTGCTCAGGTCGCCGCGCAAAGCACGATCCTGTTGGCATATGTCGTGATCCGAATGAAAGAAACAAATGCCCTGCTCGAACGAATAGGTGGAGTTGTTTCGCCAGCTTCGCTGGCAGGTTGTACTCATTTTTGATAGAAAACTTGGTGGATGCGAAGTTTTTTTTAGTGACAAGCTTACATGCTAAAGGTGTTCGAGTCGTTCTCGCGCTGGCGCTGCGTGCGTTGCAATGGGATTGTAAAGTGGTGCTGCTTGCTTCGCGTAGAATTCGCGTCTCTCAGCAGCAATTCTGAATCTCAAAGCTTGACTCGCTTGCAGGCTGTAATTGGGAATGCGGTTAGATAGCTTCCCAGACTTAATTCGAAGTTTGGGGCGAGCGCATTTGCACAAAGCATGGTGATGCTACAGCGTTTCAGGCGGCCTTACGTCAGCCTCTGGGATGGGTAAATACTAGCGAAACCGTCCTAATAACTGCTTGCTGGTAACGCTAAAAAAAATCAAATGAGCCTTAGTAAAATGTAACCCGCGTAGCAGCTCCTTTTCAAAAATCATTCCAAGTCATATTCATTGTTCCAGTTTAATGTTGAAAGTACTTCGGAGTCGTGGTCATGTCGAACTTCTGGCCGGCCACTAAAACACTAAAATACCCTTTACTAGTCTTGAAGGAGCCATTGACATGTCGTTTCTACCTGCCTGGGACGTTTGTAGCACTTAGCGTTTACTGTACAGCTTTAAAGGAAACGGCTTGGTGAGCTTGAGCCAGGGCATTCCCTAGTAGCCATGCGGATTTCGCCCGTGCACTGCCAAATGCCTTTGCGTTTGATGGTAATGTTTCTTCACTTAGGAGACTGTTGTATGTTGTAGCAGAATCTTGAAGTCCTCCCTGTTGTAATCTGTGCACTGCCTCATAGGACAACTTGAGATGACCTCTATATGACTGCTTTCTGCAGCAGTATTGCACAGTGCCGCGAGTTCTTGGCATGTGAACAGTGTGATGCGCACAGAGCACGATTGTGCACACGTGATTTGTGTGCACGGCCATCTCATGGCATACACTGCCCATGCTGAAGATAAAAGGCATCCTGAACAGGGGTTTAAGCGGGCTCAGGTGCTCACTCAAACAACCCATGTACTGTTCTGGACGCAGAGGTCACATTTCAGTGAACATGAAATGTGATATGCCGGTGTACGTAGAGTTAGCTCCATAATAAGGGACTCCAGCTGGCCAAAATTTCTGGTGTTAGAAGACATTGGTTTACTGATACATATTGTCATACAAAAACTTAAAGCACAAAACGTGCAAAATTATGCAGTATGTGGAACCATTGCACTCTGGCGACTGGACTGTGCAAAATGATAAATACGCAGGTTTCATGGTAAACATCCTACTAACATTTTTCATGTGAAACACAACTGGTTTCATTCATACATAATTTTCCCAGTGTATCAATCATTGATTGTATCTAAAGCTTTTCATCCATTTTCTCACCAGTTGCTCCGTTTTGAGCTTAGTATATTAAACGTAACCGCAATATGGCAACATCGATTGAATACTTTCTCGCTAACAGAACTCGGTTTGTTAGCACCAACAGTTACAATTCACAAGAGTCTTCTGCTACTTATAATGTGCCTCAGGGCTCAATTTTGGGCCCTCTTCTCTTGTTTAAATAAATGACCTCCCTACTGATATTCTGTCATCAATTAAAATATTTGCTCATGACTGTGTTGAAATGCATGCACTCATGCACTAATACGGATGTAAATTTTCTGCAACAAGGTCTTGCAGAAGTTTCTTCCTGGTGCATGCTTGATTGAACATGCAACTAAACGTTAATAAATGCAAGGTAATGCAAGTTGCTCGGAACTCTTGTTCTATCGACGTTGCAAAATAGCTAATTAATGATAGTGTTTTAGAAAGTGTTTCATACTACAAGTATCTTTGTTTAAAATTTACCTCCAACCTCTCATGGCATACTTATGTCACCTATCATCGCTTACAATGCCATTATCACTCTTAGCTACCTATGAAGACACTTTTCAAGGGTTCCTTTTACTCTAAAACTCATTTTATATAGAACCCCTGTTTGTCCTAAGCTTGAGAAATGCCTTGTCTTGTTCTTTCTCATAAAATTTTCCACAATCTACTACTAAAACAAGAGCTGCTTTCCAAGCCACACTACATATCAAATAGATAAAACCATCCCCACAAAACATGCATCCCTTTTTCACATCAGATTCTTTTACAATTCCTTTATTCCCCTTACTGATTCGAACCACCTCTCCATAGCCCAACTGATAAGGCTGCTGTTTAATACGATGTTTACTCTTAGCAGCTTTTCATTTTTGCTCGTTTATCTTATTGCTGTGTAAACTCTTGCCCACTCCCTTCTGTAGCGCCTTCAGGTCCTGAAGGTACTGTAATAAATAGTGAGCCTTGCTAGAACAGTGGCTGCGATTCTCAGCCGCTGAACAAAGCAGGTTCAATCCAAGCCACGGCTGTTGTATTTGTGAGCAAGTGCAATGGTAGAGGTATTGTGTGATTTCGTTGTACAATTAAGAACAGATGGTCAAAATGTCCGGAGCCCTCCACTACAGTGTCTCTCATAGTCATCCTTGGTTGCCCTGCTGCAGTGGTCTAGTTGCTAAGGTACTCTGCTGCTGCATTTCGATGAAGGCGAAAAGGCTGTAGGCCCGTGTGCTCAGATTTGGGAGTATGTTGAAGAACCCCAGGTGGTCGAAATTTCCAGAGTCCTCCACTACGGCGTCTCTCATAATCATATGGTGGTTTTGGGATGTTAAACCCGACATATCAATCAAATCAATCATCCTGGGTTTTCACATCTAAAACTCCAAATATTATCAAGAAAGTTGGTGCATGCTCTCAACTGTCACAGGATTTGTTTTTGACATCAGCTCGATCACATTATTGCAACTTAACAATCTAGTGGCGCTTACTAGTGCAAAATATGCTTGCTTTGTGATCATCTGGCCTTGTTTTATATCACTAAGGCACTGCTTGCACTGAATGTCGAGCAAGTGATTCGGAATCTCTCTAGCTGCCATTATAAAAAAAGAGGCACTGACTGTTCGCATTGTGCTGTCACCTGGGAAACTAGAATTGGTGCTCAGTCATTACAATGTTCACTTCACAGCATCACTGATGTCCCTGGCTTTCATTGCAGGTGTTCTGTGTGCAGATAGTGATCAACTGCTGTTGAATTCATCTACTGGGGAATTCGTGAGCATTGCAGTTTATGAAGTTAATCGTGCATAAAGTCTGACAAATACAGGGAAATGGTGTAGACCATTTGTTTGACAGCCCTTAAGGGGTACACTGGTCTTAGAAGGCCAAAAATCGCAAAAAAATCGACTTTTGAAGCTGACAATTTCGAAATATTCGCCTATTTTTGCACTTATATGAGAAGTTTCTAGCTTCTCGCGTCATTATGGTGCAAAATTAATTTATAACATCCCTGTGAGATGAATGTGAGCGCAAATTGACGCTAAAATCGCGATTTTTCCACGCCAAACTGTTGCCGTTACGCACGAACTATCGTGTTCATCTTGGTCTCTTGTCTTGTCTTGTCTCCTAGGAGATCTTGGCTCATACCCACATGGGGGATTGGCCACACTGTACCTCATAATAGAACATTTTTTACAATGCTTGCTAAAAAAATAATTAAAGAGAAATTGGATAGGAACAATAATAATGTTCCTTTGAAAAAACGTGAAAAATTGCAGAAGAATGCGATAAACCAGAATATATAAAACAAATTAACAAGAATGAGGAAGGGGAAGAAAGAATTGGATATATCTGGCAGTACCACTAGCAGCGTGTCCTTCCGGTTGCCTGAATGAATTTATGTAGCGCTGACAGAATAGCACTGCGGCCCACACCCAACTGACTGGCTCCAAACGATAATAGGGTGGATGTATTGACTGGCAATCCGAGCCTACCAATCGGTCTTTCAAGAATTATTCGGCACAGTGAGGCGAAGTGGCGGCATGTGAGAAGAAAGTGATCTATTGTTTCCGGTTCATTGCAAACTACACATTGGTTAGTTAATGAAAATCCTGATTTGTGGAGATAAAAATTTAACAGAGGAACTCTACAGCGAAAGCTTGTGAGGGTCACCTCACATTGACGGGAAAGGCATTTTGCGGTGTTCCATGTGAATTGCAAGTGCCGAAATTCTTCAGATTGTAGAAGCGACGTTTCGTTGATTTTCAAGATTAACAGGCGTTTGAATCGTTCGGCAGTGATAAAAGGAAACTGTGGAGCTACTAGCACCACCGGGAAATTTAAAGATGCCGAAGCGAGCGAATTAGCAATTTCATTTAGTTCAATTCCAGCATGCCCGGGGACCCAAATAAACCGAACTTCTGATAGGCTATGCGGTACGAGAGACCAAAATATCCTGAGAAGAGGAGACTTCTTTGCGGACGTTAGATGTGTACATACAGACAAAGCATCCGAAATAATAATAGCTTTTGATTGCTGATAATTTAGTTTTCGAAGAGCCAATGTAATAGCCAGAAATTCAGCGAGATAAATTGGTGTGAAGTCAGGCAATTGGAGCGCAAAAGACCAATTAAGCTGATGAGAAAAAATACCTACTCCAGCCTTCTGAAGATTTTGCGTTGCGTCCGTCGAAAGTACGACGTATTTAGGAAAATGACAGATGGTCTTGAAGGAGGCCCTCCAGAACATGCTTTGGAAGTAACTTGGCATTTTTTGGAAAAATATCGAAAATTAAGTCAACTGGCACCGAGTATTGGGTTTGGGGAGTTAAATGCCGGAGGGAAACCTGAAGATTTGATAACAGAGACTCGACGAAAATGACTTGGAGTCTTTGATAACGAAACCATGGGCGCTGAAAGAAAGAAACTGGATGTTTCATGAAAACTGTCTGTGAACAGAAGAGGGGTGCATCGTAAAGTTTTAAAAATGTTTGCACAGTAAGCTGTCGAAATCTAGCATCAAGTGGAATGATTCTAGCTTCCAAATAAAGCACGCTATTCGCGACACACTTAGGTAGCCCGAGACACAGCCGCAGAGCTTGCCTTTCTAGCAATATAAGAGGTCTTAATTTGTGCTCAGCACTTCCAGAAAACAGAACGCAGCCAAACTCCAGAATTGGGTGTACGTAAAATTTGTATATCATAAGTAACGTATCCCTGCGCATCCCTGAATTCTTATTGCAAATGGCGGAGCAATCCTACGGCGCTTTCTGCTTTACGGGTGTTGGATTCTATTTGTTGCTGCCAATTTAAATTGTCCCCGTAAACAATACCAAGATATTTTAGCGCTGTTACTTGTGGAATCGGATCATTTCGATAATGCAGTGAAATAAATACGGGAACGGATAGAGGGAATACAAGCAGAGCACATTTGCTAATATTAAGTGAAAAAAACAGCCCGCCAAGCCATACTTCAAGCTCACTCAAATATGACTGTGAGATTTGATACAAACTATTGATATCTCGGGATGACGAGAAAAAAGCAATATCATCGGCGTAGACATAAAGAGGAACATTTTTATGAATGGGAATAGATGATAATAATATAATAAATAAAAGAGGTGACAGGACTGATCCTTGCAGAACACCTCTTGTTTGCTTATATGAGGCAGAAGTAGTTCCCTCGTGGCAACAAAAAAAATTGTCTCTCAAAGAGAAACTCCTGAACCCAAGATATAATGTACTTGGGAACCTCACAGTCCACTAATCTTGAAATTAATGTACTGTATTCCACACTATCGTAGGCTTTTGCGATAGATATTTAACGTGACTAATGCAGAAAGCTCACCAGATACTTTTGCAAGGCGAATTCGGCTTTTCAAATCAACATGAGCCGACCATATAGAGCACCCCTGTCTAAATCCTACTTGCCTAGGTGAAAGGATGTCCTGACGAGCGATAAATTCACTGAGCCTTCTATGAAGAATTCTTTCAATTATTTTAACTAGGTTTGAAGTAAGCGAAATTGGCCGAATGTTATCCAGGACATATCCGAGGCTTGGATTTTTTTGCAGCAACACAACTTTAGCAATTTTCCATGCGCTTGGAATCCATGTGTGCTGTAAGGAGCAGTTAACAATATTCAAAAGCTCCTCGGGATGGGAATTAAATATCAATTTAATCATAGAGTTTGTAATCTGATGTGGACTGGGAGCCGCTTGCTTTACAGTTAGTATGACAGCTGCCAGTTCAGCCATAGTGACTTCCCGAAAGTCCGAGGTTGCGCTTTTGAATGTCACAGGTCTCAAGCATGACGAAGCAAAACGCGCTTCAAGTCCTTTCGCGATGCCCTCTAACAAATCTGTTGTTTCTTTAGGAGACAGCACTACTGAATGCGAATATGCTGGTACCTGCGTCGATTTTTTGTTTTGTAGAAACCTGTACAGGGCATATCTTTTATTAGGTTTTGATAAACGCGAATGTAAGTCAGAATTGTGTTTATATTTAGCTATTGCAACTGTACGTTTAAACAGCGCTGCGTGGAATTTATAGTCAACCCAATTTTTCGGAATATGGTTGCGGCGTAAACGTTTCCAAGCAGCCTTACGTCGCCTATACGCAAGCGTACAATCTTCATTCCACCAAGCTGAATTTGACGGTGTGCTGCCATGCTTAACAGAAAACTCTGCCGGCTGGACAGAGTCACTTAGACATGCTACGACTGAAGCAGCTCGTTGCTGTCCGACGCGTCCTCTCAATGACGAGAGCGCGGAGTTTAAAACAGTTTTATAAATTTTATAGTTGGTGAACCGTTGTTGCCGGATAGCAGAGGTAAGTTGTGGTAACATTATTTCATAGGTAATTGGTACATGATCGCTACTCGTCCCATTATCAAACGTTTCCCACGATGAAATCATAAACTGGCCACACGAAAATGTTAGGTCTAATGTTGATGAGCCTATCCCGCGTAGAAAGGTAACTTGTCCAGAGTTATCACAACGAAAATTATTATCCTGCAACCTCATTTGGAAGGGTTGTTCTTCATCTTCAATTTCCCGCCACCGCTGGCTCACCTTGCTCATTGGTTTTTTTTAGCAAAAACGCGTCATTGAGAAGCACTAGCGCGCGATTCAATTGGCTGCTTGGGGCACGTGACCAAATTAAGGCATCCGATAGGCCAAGGGGCGCTTTCGGCGTCTGCTTCACCATCGCGACGCGCACGGACATGCGCCCTTTTGTCATGGTGCTACTGACTGCGTGTTTGCAGTAAAGAAGTTCCGTGCTACAGTAATTTGTGAAGCGGGTGTGGTGGTGGTTCGTTCGCTGTGAACTTCAGAAAGATCCCAGCTATGGCTCGAGACAACGAGGATAACGAACCCGACGCGGTCAACGGCGGTCGCCGAGTCACTGGTGGAGGCCTAACTCACGTACGAGCCCGTTGGTTGCCAACAATGTTACTGAGAACGGCTGTGTTTTGCAGCCTCATCAGTTAAAGGACGGCAAGTAAAAAGCAGAAGTGAAGCTACCAGAGATATCAATCTTTGTAGTGATGGAACGGAAGTGCAGTCTTATCGCTAAAACCGCCGATGTTGTGGTTCTCCCCGCCTGACGAAAATACCGTGAACTGCGCGACGGGCCGTCAGAGTGGAGTACGCCGCGCATCGACCAACAACAGAAAGTCAGTCCGTTCGCAGTGAACATGCTCGCGGCCCTCGCAATGGAGGCTACTGGCAACAGGTAGACTGCTTTTAACGACGTGTTCGCAACGTTGTCGCGATCTCCGCTCGAAAATGCGGCAGTCTTACGTGAAAAGGAAACTAACACCTCGGCACTCGTGTAGCCTCGAAATTGATGGGCGAGGGAGCAACTTTGGTTCGTGACACTTACGGGTAACTTATTCGGGACAAGTCGGAAAACATCGCCGCGTTATTGGACGGATCGTCGATGACGCACGCACATTTGTCGCACATCGCCGTCAGTACAGTCACCGAACTGATAAGTGGCCTCGCGGCAGGCGAGCACACGGCGACAACTTGCTACAGGACTAGAAGAAACGACACGCTCGTACAAACAATCAGTCCTATTACATTCCCGGTGCATATTAACTGACTAAAAGTATGTGTGCCCTGATATTTTTCTCTTGGAACAACGAAATTACGTTTTAACTGCATTATTCTCGAAGCACAGATTTTGACCACTTTCTTTTGCTTGTTCGGTAAAAGTGGACCTAGGACAACTAGAGCTGTAATTGTTTTTGCACAATGTAGCTAAATGTGCACAAAAAACAATGCTGGGAGCCTATTTTTAATGGGCAGCTTAATTTTTTTACTTTAAGATAAAAATTTCTGTATTTGGTTACATGCAATGAACATTACTGTGCTGTAATTCGAGAAGTACTCGTTCAATTTTCGATCAGCTTGCAGCATTGCACTCATTAGGCTTTCTAGCATTCATTTATAAGTCAATGGTTATGTAATTATAAGTGCATACATTTTTACAGTTAAAAATGTCAGAATTCTTTGTTTTCTTCATTTTTTTAAAATGGCAATTTTGTACACCTTGCATGAAAATTACTGCAATATATCTGAAACAATTACAGATAGCACAATATTTTATTTTGCAGCATGAAGCTATATGTTTGGAGCACACAACACAGGAAGCATATTTTGATTTCTCTTGATGCAAGTTTTTCAAGCTAGTCTTTTGTGTGACCACACAATGGCCACGTTCAGGGCTGTGAAGTTTAGTGTACTGTAAAGTAAGAAATAATGACCCATTGAAAAAAGTGCTTCTTACGTTGCATGTCTTATGCTTTCTACTGTCAATCCCTATGTTATTTGAAATTTTTGACATATGGTTATTTTTCTATTATGGTAAGAACAATAGAAATTGTTATCTTGATTATTTAATTAACTAATGAAGCTACAGAAAAATAACTACATTTTTAGAATCCAGAGAACAAACTAAGTAAGCATGCCAACTTTTGTCACACTTGGTTCAAAAATAAATGAGAGAGCCCTGAGAACCACGTCCCCCCTTAAGGCATGGTTCTGCAGCACGGTATTGCCACTAATACGCAGTGTGAGTAGCACGCTGTTTTTGTTCTCTGCAGTGGCCAAACCCCGTCACAATTGGTACACCTTTTGAGCTTCTACGCTTGGGTATGTCGTACTGTTTAGTTGTGTAATGGTTTCATTTTTGAGCTTTTTTGTGCAATTGAAGTAGTTGTTTAATCTGAGCATTTCTGTTATATCATTGGCTTTTGTTATCCCATTCCATTGATGTGGCTGAAATATCACCTGAGCGGGCCTTAAGCACAGTAACAACAAATTGACTTTTTAAGTTGTATGTGGGCAGCTGCAGTGCTGCTGTTTTACCAGGGTAAAGGGGGGGTCAGTTTTGTTTTGTAATTAGCTCTGTGGAGCATTTGTGGTTATTGGGCAAAAGTGCAAACGTGGCATAGTTTACAGACGGTGCTCGCACTGGCTGAAATTTCAGGCCGAGGTGGCAGTCGTGGTGGTGGGGGCCACAAGGGACAGCGGCGCCACTTCACCAACCTGGAAGAGCTCGAGAGGGAGAAGGAAAAGGAGGAGAGGAATCGCCAGTGGAGGGTCAGTGTCTTATCGCACTACACTTACGGGAGCCTTGTTCAAGCAGTTCACTGTACGTACGCTTGAACACAGGCGTACACTGATGGCAGATTACCGTTGTTCCGGTTGAGAATGCGCGGTTTGCTTTGTATCGCGAGTGACTCAACGCAAAGACCTTCTTCTCTAGTGAAAACACGGGCCTTCCTCCGGTTGACTGCTGTCCATCTGATGCATGCTCAGCCAAAGCACTGTATTTCACATTTATTATTTTCACATCATAATTGTGCTGCTTGATATGCTGTTTAATGTCAGCAGTTTCACCAATATACACATCATCACAATCTGTCTACGGGAGAGCATACACCACACTGGGGAACCTTGTTTTGGGGAGACTGTCGTTATGAGTGATTGTGGCAGTTTCGAGTCCGTAACATGTGCCACCTGGATGTGGTAGAAACACAGAAATACAGCTTAAAGCTTCACTTATGGAGGACATGCACGACATCCTCGCGGGCTTTATTGGTGACACAAAGACTGAGAAGCAATACTGGGGTATGTGCCACCTTCAGCAGCTGAGATTTAAAAGGGCCCTGCAACACTTCTCCAAGTTGCCATGGAACGGATTCACTAAAGGGGCTTATTGCCTCACAAATCCACTGCCACAAGAATTTATAAAATATGTTCAGTACGACCAAGATTTGTCGCACAGTGTAATTGCATTCTCTCGTCGTCCTGACAAAAGTGCTGGGAGCTAAGTCGGGAGGGATGGCACAGAGAAAGAAAATACTTCACGCATAGCTGATGATTAGAGGCTGGATTTTTAGACACTGAAGAACCACTTTTTAGGTGCCAAAAATAGGTGGGGCCCCCAAAACCGTGAATATAGGCACAATAAATTTTGACACAATTCAAATTTTCAAAGAAATACTTGTGTGTCTATGTCTACGACAAGAAAGCAAACAGAAATGTTTTAGTTTATGATGGTACAAAGGCGCTATCAGTCTAGCATAGCCGTGTTTTTTTTTTTTTTTTGCTGCAGGGTTTGTGGAATACGGTTTCTTCTTCTCTAGTCCGGCATGGTGATCTTAGTGTCCACCATTGAATAAACACACTCCTGGGTCTCTTTCTTTTCAGCATGGCTGAGAAGGGCATCACAGGAGCAAATATTCATAGTGCTAGCAGGCCAGAAGGGCCTCTTTGCCTCGTACTGTCTAACATGGTTATACTGAACCCACATATATCAAATTTTCAGGTATGTCAAACTAGTAAGTTACTCCCTTGAAGTAATTTTGCAAAAGTATAGAAATTCCCACATTTATATCAAACGGTGGTTTTACCAGCCTTCGGATATATTGAATGCTGCACGAATTGGAAGGAGCGCTTCGGCACTCGCCGCGCTTCCTGATCCTCCGCGGCACCACAGCTCCGCGCGGGAGTTGGAAGGTGTTCTTTGGCACTCGCACCGCCCGGTGACCTTCGAGCGGCACCACGCGTCCGCCAAAACTCGAAACGCTCGAAAAAAGGTAAGGGCGTGAGAGCTCGAACAACACAATGTGCAACTTGTGGAAAGGCTTTTTTTTTTTCGTTTCTTTTTCTCTCTTTTTCACCCGTCCTTTGGAGAGCAGGAACGAAGGAGCTGACGTCCTCCTTCTCTCGCCTTTTCTTTTGTTTTTTTGTTGGTGTTCTGCGAGTTTTGACCAGCCAACCACAGCTCCGCCTTTTGCTGTCGCCTTCGAGAGTGGCCATCGCCTCCCGAGCGCTAAGTTGCTTCCATTTTCGCGTCGATTACATACCACGGCATGTGTAGCATTTCTCTTTTGCGTGCATGGTGTGCAAAGCCACTGTGGACTCTTGAATTGTCGACTTCTCGTGTAGCTAAGGGCAGCGTTAAGAAGCGCAAGACCCTCAACTTTGCGACGAACTTGAAGTGTTTTGAGGCGGGCAAGAAATGTTCGATCGTTGCGGGCGACTTCGGGTTACCACGGAGACTCTGAGTACCTTGTTGAAGAACAAAGCAGATATCAAGGCAAAGGCGGCGGAGCAGCGAATGTCAGGAGCCTGTCATGTGCGTGCTTCTCCCTACGGGAATTTTTAGAAAATGCATTCTGTGCCTGGTTTTTAGAGGTGCGCGCTAAGAACATTCCGATGGATGGCCCGACGCTGATTGTCAAGGCCAAATGGTTTGTCATTGCACTTGGTGAAACAACTTTGCCAACCACACCGGGTGGCCTCACCGATTTAAGCAGTGCTACAACAACATCGTTGGCAAAACCAATCCTGGTGAAAGCGAAGCTGTCTGTAGCCAGGACATCTAGCAGCGGCTGACAAAGGAGTAGCCGGAAATCTCCACTTTTGCGTGCGTGATGTGCAAAGCCACTGTGGACTCTTGAATTGTCGACTTCTCGTGTAGCTAAGGGCAGCGTCAAGAAGCGCAAGACCCTCGACTTTGCGACGAAGTTGAAGTGTTTTGAGGCGGGCGAGAAATGTTCAATCGTTGCGGGCTACTTCAGGATGCCATGGAGACTGAGTACCTTGTTGAAGAACAAAGCAGGTATCAAGGCAAAGGCGGCGGAGCAGCGAATGTCAGGAGCCTGTCATGTGGTTGCTCCTGGCCACAGGAATGTAGAAAATGCATTCTATGCCTGGTTTTTAGAGGTGCGCGCTAAGAACATTTTGGTGGATGGCCCGACGCTGATCGTCATGGCCAAATGGTTTGCCATTGCACTTGGTGAAACAACTTCGCCAACGACACCGGTGGCCTCACCGATTTAAGCAGTGCTACAACAACATCGTTGGCAAAACCAATTCTGGTGAAAGCGAAGCTGTCAGTAGCCAGGACATCCAGCAGCGGCTGACAAAGGAGTAGCCGGAAATCTCCACATTTTCTCTGCAGAGATCTTCAATGCCTGGCGAGACGTGAAGACAGACACATTGGTCAACTGCTTCCGCAAGGCAGGTTTCGAGGGGGCGGAACTTGCGGAAACCAGCGAAAACGACGTGCACATAGATCATGCATTTCGCGAATTGTCGTCCCGCTTCCCGGTAGCAGTTCCACACGAAGTGTCTGCGTACGACTTGTGGAAGCGGACTGCAATGCCGAGGCTGACAGCTCATGTGATGAGGAGGATTGTCCGGATGAGGCGCTGGTTAGCTGCGCATACTTAGTCGCTGAAGTGCCGGCAGTGTTCGGCATTGTTCGCCGTTGTATCGGTCACATGGAGGGAACTGGGCTGTCGCACCTGGACAGCCTTGATAAGATTGAGACTAGTGTCTTCAACATTTCAAAACCGAAGCAGGCCAAGATAAGCTCTCTGTTTTATCCTTAGCCTAATTGCCTGCTTTATTCTTGCTCCAACTTACACATATATATTCCATTTAGTTTATTCTTCTGCCAAGGCAACTTGGAAAATGTCATCTGGGCGTGCGTTGATTATACAGCACCAATCATTCTGCTTGCTGCTTGGTAAAATGACCCAATTTAGTTTGGCAGAAATTATTCTCAATATTATGATGCAGAGTGACTGCCGCCTACTTCATAGTCACCACTGCGTGACATACAATAGGTCTGAAGAGTTTCTGAGGTGCACATGTCCTCTCACTTACGAAAATTGACTGCACGTTTGTGATTCTATAGATAACGATTGGTTTATGCCAGCAGGCAAGTTATTCTTCTTATCTGCCGGTGTAAACTATTTATCTGTATACTCACTCACGTACAATCAATGAAAGTAATAAAAATGTAACAGCAGCTTTATGTGCTCTACGTTGGCCTGTATCACAATGTTCCAGAAAATGCCACTAGCAGCGTTGCTGCTGCTGTAAACCAGTGGTTTGGTATTGCAAAACGCCCCGCCGTGGTGGTCTAGTGGCTAAGGTGGCTGGGGCTGCTGACTTGCAGGTCGCGGGATCAAATCGCGGCTGCAGCAGCTGCATTTTCAATGGAGGTGGAAATGTTGTAGGCCCGTGTACTCAGATTTGGGTGCATGTTAAAGAACCGCAGGTGGGTGAAATTTTCGGAGCCCTCCACTACGGCGTCTCTCATAATCATATGGTGGTTTTGGGACGTTAAACCCCACATATCAACCAATCAATACGTTAATTTGCACGTTAGCACCATTCATACTAAATTGCAGGCTTGAGAATTTCGCAGATTCTTGTCAAATGAACTTTATAGCTTGCCTCGAAACGCTCACCTCGCTTGCCAGAATTAATGGCAACATTGTGTGTGAGACGTTGAGTTTTGCCTGGCGGAAGGGACGAACCGATGTGCCACTGCAGCGTCTGCTTGTCTACTATGGATTGTGTGGGTTTGGCCGGTGCTTCCTTGAATGATAGTGTGATTTCTTTTTCCGTGTTGCTGGGCGTGCGATAGGAACCAAGTGGTGTTGCATTGTGAGCCACACACGATTCGTCATATGTTCACCATAACAGTATAAGCGTTTTACCCGATTGCCGCAGACAGCGTGGACAGGTAGTGCTATCTGGTGGGCGTTATGTGCAATCAGGCGGCTTCCAGCAGCGTCAAGGCAAATCTTTACATCACAGATAGAAGTGCACTCGGTTGGGTATCGGTTTTGGTGTTGCGGTTTTCAGGTAATTAAAAATTATTCTCGAATTTTTCGAGCATTTTAGTTTAGGGGCACATTAGAAGAGTGCCTAAAAAACATGAAAGCAGCATTGTTCTGACATGTTAAAAAAAAAATTGCCGGATTTGGCTTTTAAAGAACCCCAAGTGGCCGAAATTTCCGGAGCCCTGCACTATGGCGTCTCTCAAACATATTGTCATGTGCTTGCCCAAGAGACCCTAGTCCAGGACTAGGTGCGTGCGCACCTAGTCCAGAGACCCGGCCCCTCGTCACGACTCCGGTGCACCGATTCAGTCGGCGCCTACTAGGCCTAAGTCCGGAGTCTGTACCTGTTCCGCCTCTAACCAGCATGGCAGCTCCTACCACATCCACGGCTACCCTTCCATCGCAGACCACTCTTCCCTCCCAGGTGACTCTTGAACATCCTCGCGTTCC